ACTATCAATATTTTGAAAATCAAGCTATTTCATATTATATATTTTCAAAGAGTATTTTCGGGACACTAGTTATTGTATGCATGTGATCTGCCACCCCCCCTCCCCGATCGAGGTTTCATAGAGCGACGAATTGATCAAAGGGACGGTCCCGTAGTATTTCATTCGAGGCCTATGGTTCTCGACATTAACTGGTACTACTCGACACCCATGCTCAATCGAGTAAAAGCCACACGACTCGGCCCGAGCTTCAATTTAAACCGTCTCTTAGCGTGTCCCGAACGAATCAACGTGATAGGTTTCAACGGGACCATATGATATGTAGCCGTAATCCGAATTTTACGCGTGAACACGAATCGCCGGCTTCCCGGTTTTTTTTTTTTGTTTTGGTCGGAGATTTCCCGATTATTATCACCTAATATAATTCGAGTTGCCGAACTGGGCCCCCGAAGGAAATGTACGGGTCACGTTGCGTGTCGGTTTTCATTGCTTGCAATTTGGGTCGAACGAATTGATAATTGGTGGGTTGACTCCGAAAGTACGCGCCATTGCCATGAGGTCTTGTGAAATTCAAGTGGCAGGATGCTGTTTTTTTTTTTTTTTTTGTAATGCACATTTAAATAATAATATTATAATGATTATCTCGTCCTATCCGTATGATAATTTATACTCTCCCAACAGCGCGTCGAAATTTACTAGAACACCGAAGAAAGTCGATATAATTTGATAGAGGTGTGCGTACGCTTCTCATTATCAAAAAGGTTACCGATTCGGCATAAACACGTGCCGGTAGTTATTTTCTCGCATGAAAGCTTCCAAGACGCACGGACAAGTTACCAATCATAATGGAAAACCTTACATTTTGGAGGGAAAAAAAATGGTAGTTATGTGAAATAGTCGAGCACTTTTTTTTGTGGAAATTTGCTGTCAACCTTGAGAAATTTACCCACTGGGGATAAGTTGAAAATGACCCTTTTCTAAAACAAACTCACTAACCAAATAACAAAAACATCAAAAGCTAAAATACTGATTTTCATGGCATAAAAAGTTTTCGGCGACGACGAAAAATTTACTTCCCCTCGTCGCTCCCATACTTCTCCAATGAAAAAGTCGCTGACCGCGTGAAAACAGTTACTAATTAAAAGTAGATCGAAATTTACTTCATCAGAATATACGACGACGTCGTCAAATCTTCCACACAGAAAAGTAAGTGTAATTAAATTAACAGGAATATCTATTCTGACGAGAGAAAGCTCGCATTCTCGAATGAAAATGATAACCGTAATAATTACGAGAAGAGAAAAACTCGCTAATCCACGAACATCTCCTCCCTTTATTTTCGCCACGAAATCGCGAGTTCTTATTGACTTGAGCATCGGAAGGCTCTTATCGATAAGGAAGTGGAATCCTCTTCGGATTAAAATAATGGAGGGTCAAGAAAGAGCTCAGCGTGCCCTAGAACCACATGCGCCAAAGATGTGGCCATCGTTTTGCTCAACACGATTCGTGAGGCCAATCATGGGTGGATTTTACTCTACAGCTAGAGCCGTGGGGGACGGCCCGTTGACCTTGACTTTGCTTGATGACAAACCAAAATTTCTCGTACATGACAATGAAGTTTTTGGCCATATTTATATGGAGGGTGAATCTCCCTTGTCCTAATATTTGAGAACAGATATTTGCTTACTTCCTAGCTTATACTTCATTTTATGAGTTGCATGGTTTGGGATTTTATTTTGTTTTTTAATTTCTTAGTAAGTTCAATATGTCGCTAGGATCGGGGTTATTGGGTAGCGCCGTGGCTATCGAGTTCGCGATTTTCCCGAAATTTGATTACCCGTTTGAGCGGATTTGATTATCGCAAAAATGACAAAATAAGATATCGAATGAAAGAACGCAAAACGACCCGCATGCCTTAGGACTAGAGTTCCTACAATACTTTTGGTTCTCTGATCGGTTCGTGACCGGCCAATCGGGGTCGGGATTTCAATCGAAGCTGTTAAGCCCCAATTCGTCAATTCGGGGGGGAAAGAACAATGTCATTTCTGCACTCTTTTGTTGATTAGGATTCTCCGTCTAAGCCATGTCGATCGATTTATAAAATCAAAGTAACGTCAAGAAGAATCACTTGCGCGTTGCGCCTGACTCATTATAACTTGTGGAATGGGCAATTAGAGCCAAGGCGGGTTTTCTTTTTGATGGTTCGATTTGAGCGAGGTTGAAGTTTGCATTCGATATTCGAGCGCCTATGAAAAGGGGGGCCAATCGGACAATCGATGTCGGACAAAAGCCACGTGATCACACGATTCGCGTCCATGTCGGTAAACTCAACACAGCTAGGATGGGTGTGACGTCATGAAGACGTGATATCCTTCCTTCTTTTTGATAATTTATTTCTTTTTTTTGGCCGCTTTACGCGATCTTGCCATGTTGATCGCACGATCTCTCCATTCGAAAGAAATTGCAAAAAAAAAAAAATTCCATTTTTGGTATTACAATTTTAGGGATTTGCTCATACGGGGGCCGACATCGAAAAATAGTATTAAATTTGTGCATCGAGTGCTATTATATATCTATGTCAGTTTCGAATGTGTTCGTCTCGGATCGGCAGCAAATCCAGTTGGACCGAGTCTTTGGAGGCCGAGGAGTCGCGTTCGTGCGTCCAGATAGGGCTTGACTGGATGTTGTCGAAGGGAAACAAAGTGGCAAACGAGGAGGGAAAAACAAGGGATAAAAAAACAGTCACGAAAAATCTCAGATAATATCTATTATCATACGTTTATCTAAAACTTTTTTTTTATAGCATCAAAAGTTGCGAATTATACCCACTACGACATATTCGTCGAGCTTCTATCAGATGATTTTTTTAGCTAAAATAGCGTCGTTTTTATTTGGGTAAAAGTCACCAAACCCCAAACTATCCCCACGGTTACAACCGTTAAAAATCTACCTTGGCGTTGTTTTGATTGAAAAATCATTTGATGAAGCCTTAATAGAAGGTTAATGTATCGCATAAGTACAAGTATGTTATAGTGAGCATAGTTTGAGGTTTTTAATGTTATAAAAAAGTTTTGAGTAAATGTGTCACAGTGAACATAATTTAGGATTTTTGATGGCTTTTTCTAAGCCAGGTGGACGCTATGTCAATATTGCATCCACATCTACTTTTTTTTTTTTAACGAATCTCATTAACAGAACTTTGACGGAGGATTAATGGGTCACGCGGGTACAAATTTACGATTTTTGGTATTATTCGGGGTTTTTCTTGATGGATTTTGCCCTTTATTTGTTATTGCATTTTAGAGTTTGTTTACGCAGGTACCGACATCAAAATAGTATATTATCCATCAATTGCTATCGGGTCGGAAATCCACTGACCGAGTCTTGGAGGCTAAGGGGTCGCCTTCAATCGTCCAGACAAGACTTATCTGGAATTTTTCTATTTTGAACACAGCTTAACTGGAATTTGAAGGGAAAAAAAGTGGCAGTTGAGGAAGGAAAAAAAAATGGATAATAAAAGAAAATAAAAAGAGAGACTTCTATGCTTTATGTATTAAGTTTTTTTATTTTTGTCACTGCCCTTATGTATTAACTTTTTTTTTATCTATCCTATCTTTAACTCTCCTCACTTTCTGATTATTACTCTTCCTTTTGTAGAGCACGGGAATCGTATCCCGCACCTACGATACTATTGTCTCCATCCCCTAAATCCTTTATCTGCATAGCCGCATATCTATTGGCAACCCAGTAGTAAGTTCAATCCATTAGAATTGTGACATGGTGTTGCCATGCAATGAACGTGCATCGGTCGGTTTAAAGATGGGAAAATAAGATTTATGGACTCCAAATTCAAACATCTTTCGAATATTCGAACGATTATATTATATATATATAAGGGTTAATACCACGAAAAATCCTAAATTGGTACGCCTGCGATAAATTTACCTCAAACAAATTTTTTGACCACCCAAAATCCAAAACTGGTACATTTGTGACAAATTTACCCTTCGTTAATTTCCGTTAAATTGAATTAATACCTTAAATAATCACAAACCGGTACACCTGTGATAAACGGAGGATAAAACCCAAAATTGATATATCCATCAACTGTTGTATGTCATTTAATAAAGTAATTTAACAGTAAAATTTAACGAAAATTAATGGGAGGTAAATTTGTCACCGGTAAATTTTTTTCGCCTACCGACGTCTTGGAGGATGACAACATGATGGTGAAGAAAGGGGAAGACGGCGATGTTCCATCCGTACCCTATGGGGAGGTTGGAGGAGATGTAAGGAAATGATTGGTACGAGTTCGGGTCGGAGCATTGGCTGAGGGATGTGGAGGATGGCGGTGAGAAGTGGGGGTTCGTCGGGAGGGACACATTTACGTACTCATGTTCTAGGCATGGCCAAGGATTTCTCTGGAGAGGAAAATAGCGTTCTTGCATATGAAGAGGGTGGTGGCCGGGATGTTGCGATGGTCAGGGTAGTGCCGGCGACGGAGGAAGGGGCGGAGCTGATGTTCGCTTCATACTCGACGAGATGGGAGATCTATTTGGCCTTTCGGCCTTTTACACATGCTAAACTTTTGCATCTCTATTTTTCTTTAATTCTTATCATTTTAAATTTGCTAAATGCTTAATTGGTATAACTAAAAAAATGCGAGTTGATTCGGGTTGGATCTAGGTCTGGTTGGGTATGGGCTATCTAAATTATTTTAAAAAAATTGGGCCGATGTGAGATAGATGGATAAATTTAGTTAAATCCATTTATAACCCGTTCAAAGTCTCAGACTCCCACCTGACCCACCCATTTGTCACCTCTACTTTTGCTAGAGCATTCAAATGGGAGCATGGAAAAGAATGCAAAAAAATTCTTAGTGCCATCTGCAGTGAAACCGCATCTCAGTGCACATACAGAACCAGCTTGGCTCGAGCAGTGAGCAGACACATATCAAAATCACATAATCAATGTTATCAGTGCAAAATTAGAAGACTGCAATAGACAACTAAACAAGAAACAATTGATAAGCACATTGATGTTGTAGTGCTGGGAACAAAAGTAGCCGCATCCATTTCGGAAAAGCAACAGGTGTGAAAGACCCGAAAGATAACCACAATTCTACCTCCTACGCTTAAGAGGTCCAGTCTTGTACCCGGACTTGCAAGGCTTCCCCCATGGCGTCACCGAACACCTCCCATAGCTCCCACTACTTTTGCTACGCCCTTCACCTCCTCCGTGAGGATGATCGACTGGATTCATCGCCACACCCCGAACAACCGGCCTCCGGCCCAGCCATCTGCTCTGTCCAGCTTTCCTGAGCTTCCGACTCCCATGGCTAGGGTTCGACACCTGACCAATCGTAGCTCGGCATCGAGTATCAATCAACTTTTCGGCTCCTGAAGGCAGTCTCACCATGACATATCTTGAAGTGGGCTCTTTCAAGATCTTAGCACAGGTTCCTGCAGCGCGAACTAGTTTCCCGCCTTGCCCTGGGTTCACTTCGATGTTGTGGATCATGGTCCCAATACGCATGGCAGCAAGCGGCATACAACTGCCGATTTGTGAATTGACGTCGAGATGAAGCATTTGATTCATCATCTTCTCGCGGAAGGATTGAATATTTGCATCAGCTGCATAAGTCAAGACATAGCATGAATGATGAGGACCGATTTATTGAGTCTAGAAAAGCCCAAGAGCCGAAACATTTGGAAGCAGAACCTCCTTTTCATGACTTTCCCGTCACCAACATAACTCTCTTTACAGTTACATTACTGGTCCTCAGTGACTATTTACTTTGTTAGAACGTTACAAGCACATGCTATAACATTAGATAAGTATTACAGAACATAAACAAAAAGCACCATGTAGAATATTGCGCTCCAATGGAGAGAATAAGAAACCAGAAGAGACTAAAGACCGAGAGAACCAAGATATGGAGATTGATACTTAAACCTCCCAAACTCGCCTACATCCATGCGCTAGCCCAGACCCAAACTTATGCTTTCACTCCCTTGCCAGGAGGCCTTGTCTCCAAGAGTTCGGCATATCACAATAGAACTTTAGAAATTACTTAACACTTTCCATACCAGACCCATCTGTACCATTGTTAGAAGGATTCAAAGGGACCTCAGAATCTAAAGGTGACTAATCATGCAGAACATCAACCATTCAGACCATTCTATAAATGCTCCACTCCATACATGATGGTCCTCCAAAGCTGAGACCTCGCAAACAAGTCATCACATATGAGACACACAACTTAGATGAACATAAAAAGCTTGTCAGTCAGCAAGATTCTGGCCCTCCCACTGAAAAGGACATCTGACCAGATTTGACTTAACATTTTTCTCTTATGTGCACATTCGACCAGACAGTTTCACATAAGAGTCTCCTCAGTGACTTCAAGTGAGGTTTCTTTCTGCAATTAGAAATTTCCAAAAGGAAAATTGTGGAATTATTTACCTGCTTATGTCATTTGAAGGAATTCGGTCTCACTAAAACTTCCAAGAGAACCATGAGAGGACACAAAGTCCAACAAATGAAACTACAAGAACATACTTCTTCATGAATGTCATGAACTATAGGATAAACAACATGATTAACTTCTACTGTACTTTCCTGCAGAAGATGGAGCCACAAGCTTCAAACCATCATGCCACTCAACAGCCTAAACCTGAAGCCTTAAAATAAATACCAACACTCGCTCCGAACAATATGTGTACCATATGCTATAGTTAATCTCTTGTTCATATGTCATCAATTTTAACTATTAGCACAAAGTAGCATTAATGAAAACTGAAAGCCCTCTCATTATTTCCATATACCCTTGCGCTTGACTATTCCAAAACTCAATCGCCCACCACCCTCTCCATGCCACCTCTGTATTTCATAAAATAACTCCAAGGTTCTGATTGAAGTCACAAGAACTTGTCACCCTTAACCCAGTATTGCAACAAAGAGCATCCAACTAACCATTCGGAGTGGCGAATTCATTTATTTTCTTTTCCACTAATCCCGGCAACTCGAAAAGGTGAACTCTTTAACCTGATTAAAAGTATTCTAAGTACTAATGGTACTATATCAATCCAGGGTCTGTGTTTATGGATGCCAAAAGCAGTTTTAGCTCTATTTGCCCGGCTTTTTGGCTGAGCTACACCACTGATAAGCTTCTTTTGATTGTAAGCTGCACGCAAAATCAAACCTTCAGATACATTATCGATGACATTCTCCAGCTCTCAAGTAAAAAAACACTCGAAAATTCGACAAACCAACTACATTCACGTTTCTCCCACCGTTCGCCGCGCATTGTCATCGGCCAAACGGTTCGAATCAAACTCACAGGGACAAAAGCAGGACGCGCCACCGCATCGTAATCGGTGGTTCGCCAAACCAAAACAACATACGAATGACACATCAAGTCCAAACCAATCACCGCACTCTGTTTCGAAGCTGGGGCTTCGAGAACGAAAGATTTCCCTCCATTTCTTCTCACCGGCGGCGACCTGCGCCGCCCCAATCTGACCAAGAGAAAAGCACGAGAAAGACAGCACTACCTGACGAGAAACTGCGAGGGGTCTGGCTAGTGATGCGCCCATTGACGAGCTTGCTGAGGAAGGTCGAGGAAGCTCTACCTACCCTCCATGCCATCATCTTCTTCGGATCAGCTTCTTCAGTTCTTCTTAGGGTTTTTGGTTCTTGGCTTAGACCATTGATCTCGCTCTGCTGAAGCGTCCAGTTCCGTACTTCACCTGGCGGGTCGGGTCGGGTCGGACCGGATGGTGTCTAATGCAATAGTGAAAAAAAGAAGCTAGCTTGATGTTTTGCATTTTCTAAGCAATTTCTATCCATGCATTTCATTGATGCGATAGTGAAAAAAAGTAGACAGCCTTTTGCTTCAACGATAAAATTTCTGATTTTTTTTTTTGTGAAAAATGGTATTGATACTTAATAATGAAAGCGACACGACTTTATTTTAAAGTTTATGTTTTTTAGATTTGAGGGGTGTTTGGTTCAGCTTTGGGAAAGGGCTTTGAGCCTCGAAAGCCCATTCCCAAAATGCTGGAGTGTTTGGTTCAGCATTTTGCCTAGTATTGGCCAAATGCTAGCATTCCAAATGCTGAAAGCTCAAGGCTGGTCCGGACCAACCTTGGGCTTTTAGCATTCCACGAATGCTACTGTTCATTAATATATATATATATTGGTTTGAAGCTGTTCTTCACCAAGCAGCCGGTGAGGGCGGCTGGCGAGGGTGGCCGGTGAGGTCGGGCGACCACCGGTGAGCAGATTCTTTGCCGCCGCCCGGTCGCCGAGGCCGGCGACCCTCGGCGGGGTCGCACGACCCAGTGGCCGTCGCTGGGTCGCACGTCGCCCTGGGTCGCACGCCGCCCGGGTCGTGCGAGCCCCGCCGAGGGTCGCCTCGTCTCGGCGCGATCACGGCGGCCACAGATCCGGGCTCGCGCTGGTCGCCCGACCTCGGGTGACGGCCGCCGACGCCAGATCTATCTCGCCGGCGGCCGTAGGCCCTCACCGGCGGCCGGCTCCGGCGATGGTAGGTTTTGTATTTTTTTTTAATAAATAAAATAATTCTCAAAGTCCATTTGCAAAAAAAATTTACCAAACACTATATTTTGGTCAAAGTAGATTTACAAAATATTTTTACCAAACACCATTTGCATTTTTCCAATGGGCTTTCACCCAAAGGTATTTGCATTCCCCCAAGTAGCATTTTCAAAGTTGAATCAAACAGGCCCTTGGCGTTGTTTCATGTAGTTAGTGATTTGGTAACTCTAAATCTGAATGTGGTATTGAACTCTTACTCAATTGATAAAAATGGCCACGACAATCTTTTGCGTCCAAATGGTCTTACTCGGTAGTTGATGCCAATAATAATGTTGTGGTGGCTCGTCAATGGGCAACCTTTTTTTTTATAAAAAAATTTGAAAAATTGAATTAATATTTATAAAACGAAAATTAGTTTTCCGTAAGGGATAAGAACCAAAGTTCAATTTGAACTTTTCCTCTTCAATAAAAAAATCAATAGTTCAATTTGAACTTTTCCTCTTCAACCAAAAATCAATTTTACTATTTCTAAAATAGCCACCGGTAGGAGGTGCGTTGCGCTGATCTTCAAGAGCGAAGCCAGTACCATAGGCCCCTTCAATTTTTCGCCAAGTGAAAATTGTTATTTTCTGTTTTATAATGATCATTTTTGTTTTTATTTTATTTACCAAATCAATGTGTCACCTAGGCATAGTTTGGCATATCAGCTACCGCGTGGAATCATTCATACCTCAAAGATTATAATAACTGTTTTGATCTATTAAGCGAGACAAAAATTTTGGGATTTACCTTGTGAAAAATTTGCTAGTCACTTGTATGATTGGACTTACTTTTATACCCAAGATGACTACCACTATGGACATATTATTAGTTTTTAAATAGACTGAACACCTCTTCGTTACAAAACTATTCAAAAAAGTGCACCGAAAGTCCTAAATATCATGTGCGGAACGAAATTAACTTTGAAACCTTTCAAATGATTCAATTAAATCTACAATCATTTTCAAATATTGCAATTAAGTTTTTACAATAAAAGGCACCGAAAATTGGGCAAGTATCACTAAAAAAGAAAGCCTGTAGGGGCATTATTTAGCTTTTCCCAAAATAAAATTTTAGGACGTGATTATACTTTTTTCATTAAATTTTTTAAGACTCGATTTGACCAGTTAAAAGGTTTACGGCTCGCTTGCACTTTTTGGTAATAGTTTCGAATCCGGATGTAACCAATTAAAAGCTGGAATGAAGAACCGTGATAAGTTAAAGGCTCGGACATGCCTACTTCATATAGATTAGTCAACATATTTATCATAAGGGCTAAGGTCGAATCAATACTAGAAAGTCCATATCTAGCACGCACATTGCTAGAGGCTCGAAAATAGTTCAATATTACGTAGTTTAGTATTAGCCACGTCAGCATCGATGAACGGGATTTTCTTTGAATGAAATCCAAAAAAAAAAACAAAGGGAAAAGAGAGAGCTTTTAGCCCGCCGCCGTCTTCAGCCTTCCCTCGCCTCCTCCTCTCCTCTGCTTCCTCACATGGCGGCCGTCTCGTTCCACCCCGCGCCAATCTGCGGCGGAAACGCCTCCTCGAAGCTCGGCGATGGCTTCCCGAAGCTTCTCGCCCTCCCGGCGAAGCTGCTCTCGCCGGCCGCCGGGTCGTCCCGCCGCCGCCGCTCGCGCGGGGAGCTGGCGGTGGCGTCCGCGGGGAGCGTCGACAATCCAATCGCCGCCGCCGCCGACAACGCCCCATTATCCGTCCCCAACCCTCCTCCTGTCGCTCGGCCCAAGTACGTCTCGTCAGGGGGATCGTTACGTAGCGTTTCGTGTGGCGCTTTGGTAGTTGCTGACGCGAGCTTGGATGGTGTCTTTCGATGACATCGTTAGCTGTGTATGGTGGAATATTCGTACGGAGCCTCTTGCATGTATTCGTTTTTTGTGGGTGTAAGATGGAAATGTACGTGCACGAGATGCAGGCTTTCTTGGGCTTTTGGAGACGATCTGGTGGTTTCACGAGGCTATATAGCTCTGTTTGCTGAAATGTTTTCGTGGGTTCACTTTGATTGTGGATTTTAATGTGCGAAAAAGCACGATGTAGATACCCAATGAGCGATTTTTCCTAAAGCTGGCTAGTGCTTGTTGTTATCAGTGGACTATGCTTTACACTTCCACGAGATGAGATGTCTGATTTACGGTTGGCCCAAAAAAGGGCTGTCTGATGCACAATTGCTGCACATCCTTTTTTGTAGAATAAGGGTGATGATGATTTTTAGATGGAGGCGAAAGGATATTCTATGTTAGTCATTGCATGTCTGTTGGGGACTGCTGTTGTGACTAATTTGAATGTTGTTTTTAACTACTCATGTTGCAATGATACCAGGGTGAGGAGGCATACGATTTCCGTGTTTGTTGGTGATGAGAGTGGAATGATAAATCGGATTGCTGGAGTCTTTGCGAGGCGGGGATATAATATTGAGTCCCTCGCTGTTGGTCTGAACAAGGACCGGGCCCTCTTCACCATAGTTGTTTCAGGAACTGAAAGGGTCTTGCAGCAAGTTATGGAGCAGCTTCAGAAGCTCGTGAATGTGTTGAAGGTATGTTAATACTTTTCATTGAAGATACCGACTGATTCTTGTTCAACCATGAGTTATTTTTCCTAAATGTGAGGTTCATCCTCATTCTGCTTGACCTATTTTTCTGGTGTGAGTATGTAAATAAGTGCCCTTATGTATCCTATCAAGGGGAGTTTGTGGTCATTGGATATGATTTGTACGATCCCCTTTGCCTCTCTCTTAAGCAGAACCATCGTATGTTCTCACGTGTCCATAAAACTTGAAGTATGGATATGTCTGTGCCGCTTCTATTTTGGTTCATTGTCTTTCATCCTTTATGCATAGTGTGTAGAATATATGTGGGTTTTCAATTATGCTTCTGCTGTATGCTTGAAAATGAGTTCACTCGATATTTCTTGACGAGCACCAAAACAACCCTGCTTCTGTCTAGTGTCTTCCTCCTTTTATATAGCTGTTAATCAGAGTTAATTACCATGTGCAGGTTGAAGATATATCTAAAGAACCCCAGGTTGAGCGTGAATTAATGCTCATAAAAGTCAGCGCCGAACCCGAACATCGTCCTGAGGTAGTTGATCTTTTGTTGAGTGCCACTACAATGATGTTTACCTTTATTAACAGCTCATTCTAAGTAGCACTTCCTGCTTGGAATGTTCAGATTATGTGGTTGGTGGACATCTTTAGAGCACAGATCGTGGATATTTCAGAGCACTCCTTAACAATTGAGGTGACTTTATATGACTTTCTAGCTCATAGTTTTACATTCTTTGCAGTATATCCGGAAATTTTTTTGTTTGTGATTTAATTAAGTCGGTAATTAGACGTCTGGAATGACCTTGCCCTGGACTCGAAGAACATACCAACTATGAGAATTATAACGTTGGGCAGTATAGATACATGGCAACCTATTCTTCTTCTTCTCAGTTCCTATAAGATTAATAAACCAGAATGCCTGTTTTGTGTGGCCAATTTTAATCAACACAATTATCACCAACACATCAGAAGTGTGCACAATTCAGCTTTAGACCAGGAAAATGTGCAATGCGATGGCAAGCTATTTTGGTTCTGATAGATATCGGTGTTTCTTTCTTTTTTTTGGTTCTGCGGAAAAGACATGTAAGAACTCTTGTTGCCATGTAATAATGATCATTGTGGTATCGATCTTTCTGAAGTTTTTTTTTCTTTTTTAAAAAATTAATCAGAGTTGTGAGGAATAGATTAACAATCTATGTAGTCAAAAAAATGCATAAGGTTCACAATCCATGCTCTTCTGTTTTACAGGATTAACATGATTTTTACATTTGCTATTTAAGTTGGCATGTTTATAATTATTAGCAATGAGTTGGCCATCTACAGGACTTCAAATGACCTCATACTTATAGTGATTTTGTGCAGACTGATGTAATTTGACTATTTACATTATCAGTATGTTAATGGTGTTGACCTTGACAAGGCTGCTCTTGTGGGCTGATGCATGTGACTAGGTAACGGGAGATCCAGGAAAGATGGTGGCGGTGCAAAGAAACTTAAGCAAGTTTGGCATCAGGGAAATTGCAAGAACTGGAAAGGTTGGACACATCTAGATGCCATGTCTAACATCTGTTTTATTTTTTGTAAGCCAACAGAGATAGCTTGTATAACATGCATCCCATATAGCAATAATATTTATTTTTTCTGTAGATTGCTCTTAGAAGGGAAAAAATGGGCGCATCTGCTCCATTTTGGCGATTTTCAGCTGCTTCCTATCCAGATTTGGAAGGAACCATTCCTGCTGATTCTGTAATTGCAGGTGCTAGAGATAGAACAGTTCCTGGTGAAACTGATGCATATGTTGGGGTATGTGCATCTCAAAATATTTCTCTCCTCCTTATTGAAAGGCATGTTGTTTCTCTATAATGTCCATTTTTCTCTTCTTCTTTTGTTTTTTTTTAATAGTTGTGTTTTGTGTGTAATCTTTGTGCTTACCTATGTTTGTTCTTCTAAGATATTTCTGGCCAACGTTTTTTATTCTTAGTCTTCTAGCTATCCTGGAGACCCTATTCTTGCGGATTTTATATGAGAAACTTGTCGTCTGTAATTTTATAGCATCGGTTTGTTGACTTTGCTCATGAATTGAATGGCAGATGTTGATTTAAATGAACATTCTACTGCCACGTACTTAGACTTAAAAAGAGGTGCTTTCAAGCTTTGATGCTAGTGTTAGTATGTTGCTGTCGTAAATCACGTTCATCTTTTATTTTTCTTTTTTTGTCGCAACTGACTTGAACTGTCTTGAATGAGTCAATTTCTTTGTAGTTATCTCTGATGAATGTTTTGTAGTTTTCTTTACTAAAGAAAGGGTGGTTGCTCAATTGATGGTTAACCATAGATGGTGGTGTTTACATATATTTTGTGCTTTTCTTTAGCTGTTAATGTAAGATTTGTCTGGATTTGTTGGCAGTCGATGGAATGCCATACTGTTTGATGATGTTATTTTTCTGGTTGTGAATATGTAATTTTTTGACTTCCTTGAGTATATTAAATGTTTTCACTGTTGTTTTCCAATGAAGGGAGATGTTTATCCAGTGGAGCCAACTGATGGTATCCGTGTCAATCAAGTGCTTGATGCCCATTGGGGCGTTCTCAATGATGAAGACGTAAGAACTCTCTGAATTTTCTTTGCTGCTTATAACCTGACTTTTGTTCTAAAATAAGATTCCTGTTTAAATAGGCTTTTAGTAATGTCGTTGTCTATTTTCCTTGAAATGTAAAAAATGTCGATATCATGTTGAGGGAGATATCCTTATGGGTGGGATTGTCTGAGTGCTTTTTGCATAACTGGCCTATATTTGCTGTAGCAATGGATTAGAATACTTATTTTAATTGTCATCTGTGGAGTGGAGTTGTGACATCTAAAATCCAACTTTCAAGGGTTTTAAATATTATTTGCAATATTAACTACTTTATTTATACCTATATTTACGATTCAAGGGTGATATTAGCTGGAGTATTGACTTAGTGAAAGCAACGAGGGCCAAGAGTTCGAATCTTTTGCCTTTTCTTTCTCTTGTTTGTTGGCAACTATACTGGAGATTAGGTCCATATTGGTGCTTAATAGACTGACTGTAACAGTTTTAAGTTCTGACAACTATGCATGTTACTGTATCCTATGAAAGTAGGGTTGGCCAATCTGGATTTTTGTCATAGAATGGTATGGTTGAAAGCAAACTCACAAAAGTTGGTTACTAATAACACTTTGTATTATTTGATTGATGTGGGGGAAAGAAATAACAGGATCTGTTAGAATTCTGGATATCTTCCAGTCCTGTATTTTGTTTTTAGTGAAAAACATAAGCGGCTGTAAGGACCATTTTCATTGGCGATTTGGCTATCCACTTTTCTGGAGAAGGAAGACAATGTCCAACGAAATCTGGAAAACAGGAAAAGGTCGTTTAGGTTCCAGTTGAGATGCCCAAAAAATGAGGAAGATTGACACTTCATAAAGGATTTTTCATAGTTATGATCCAGCCAATGTAATAAAAAATAATCGAATTTTTAAACTGGTAAAACAATGTTACAAGCTTAAATCTAGCAAAGCTGAAATTGGGAAGATAATAGGTTCGGAATTGTCCCTGAAAATGAAGGTCGGCAAACTTCAGGAAGTACTCACGGTTTTAAAGGAGTTGGGACAGACTCATTAGAAGGTTCAGCAAATGGCAGAGTTCGTTTCATGTGGTATTCTCAGAGTTGGTCATTGAAACAAATTACTCCAATCTTGCATGTAATTGAAAAATTTGTTAGATTTCAGATAAAAACTATAATGTCTATAGATAGTATAGTTTTACATCTAAAACATTGCTGAAGTCAAACTAATTCTTTAAATGTGGTGCACTAAAAATAAATATCAACAACTAGGAAATTATTAGAATGTCTTCTGATTGAAGTATGACAATGCCTCGATTACTTGTTTAATTTTTTAATGTAGTTTAATTTGTTTTTTTATCTGGTATTAGTATCCAAAGAAGGACATCGATAGATATTCTATGTAACTTTAGTATTTCCTCTATGTCCTTGAAAAAACTATAAGTTTGGAAGGAAAACTGTTGAAAAGATGGAGGAAATGATTTTGGTCAATTGTCAAGCTTAAGTTATGTTGTCCTGCCGAAAAGGATTTTGACAAGATTTTCCTCTATCACTAATTAAAACAATTTGAGAAAATGGATCTTAGCTTTCATTTGTATTTACTTAAATGTCCCTTGTATATTTGTTTCACCATTAACTGGCAAAAGCTTGGAAGTTTTATATCCTTAAACTGATTTTTCTATTCCAATTGATTCTGAGAGAGTTAGATCCATAGCTGTCACATTGTTACCTCTTGAAGGGTATAGCGCACCATTGCATATAATTGAAGGGTATGAGGCATGTTCTGAAATTGTGGATGTGTGAGGGGGTTGAATATAACCAATCAAGTTATAAAAGATGCAATCTAATTTAAGGCAGAACTTGTGACTTTTAGAGCTCTTTTTGCGAATCAAGGAATGACAGTGGTGTTCAGTTTTATTTAACATTGTCCGATTTAATCTTTTTATGACCCATTTGAATTGTCAAACATTGGTTTTGGTTGCATGGAACTGCATTATCAATTGGGTAAATCAAGACCGGGTTCTTTTTGTTTCTTTTTTTACCAGATGAGTGGACTTCGGTCACACACTCTATCAATGCTCGTTAATGATGCTCCTGGAGTTCTCAATATCATTACGGGTGTCTTTTCAAGAAGGGGATATAACATTCAGGTAAGTTTGGCTCTGGTATCTTATGCCTAAAACTTTCTCACTCTTCTTTAATCATTTTAAATCTCTTCTTCAACTTGCCAAACATCTTTTTGTGTTATCAGAGTTTAGCTGTGGGACATGCAGAAGTGGAAGGACTCTCTCGCATTACAACTGTGGTTCCTGGTACCGATGAATCAATCAGCAAGTTGGTACAGCAACTTTATAAGCTGGTAGATCTCCATGAGGTGAGAATTCAGCTGTCAGGTGACATTTGTCGATTGCCTGGCTGGGGTAGTCAGGGGTTCAATATCTTGTTTCTTATCTCGGATGCATAGTGTTCCACTCAGTTGCTCTGCAGTGCTATGCAGTTTTGTTGGTCCATATGACTTATGAGATATTATGATGTTGCGGTCACAGAGTTAATTTGTCTGATTTTATAATTAGTTGTGTTGACTTGTCTAATTACCAGTTGGGCTTTCTAGGTTAAGGATATGACTCACATACCGTTTGCTGAACGTGAGTTGATGCTGATAAAGATTGCTGTAAATGCTGCTGCTCGGAGAGATGTCCTTGATATTGCCAGCATTTTCAGGGCAAAGGCCGTTGATGTGTCTGACCACACAATTACTCTTGAGGTGAATTACTTTGGTATCATTACAGTGGCACTTTTTTGGTCCATATGAGTTTATCCCCTCCCTTCGCTCAAATGTCTGGGTTGTTGTGACAAATTTAATTCACAAGTTAGCATACCACCAACTAATATTTCATAACATTGAAATTGATCAAAGGAGGATACTTTAAGGATGTTTTTCTAAATCTTATGCTTATTTGAGTAGCTGTAATTGTACTTTCTTCAGAAAGCATTTGTGTGATCAATCAGGTTCTTCATTGCATATTCGTATCCTTTCTATCGATCTCCTTCTGTAATCGGTACAAAAGTTGTAAAGACACTTCAAAGAAATGGTTTGCAGGTCATTGGTCCAGAGTCTCGGTGTTTTTGTTCGATGGAAACCTACAGATGTACGTTTATATGGACACTTGTCGAGACAGATAATATATGAGACAGATATTTAATATTTATGAGCTAAGCAACTCAACTGCTCAACCACAGAGTCCTCTTTGCATGGTAATAGACAAGTAAGGTCTATAATGAGGTTCAACAAGCACATATACTGAAGTTGATTTACCATTTTCACAATTTGGTTTTTGTGTGAAATGTTTGAAGTAAAATAAACCAAAGGAAAACAGGGAAGACAAAATGAAGGAATCCGCATGTTTTCCTTGTTAATCTGAAGAATCTGGTCATCCGTTTTGTCTGGATGCTCATATAACAAAAATTGATCGAACATATGAAAATTCGAGAAAGCATGTGTGGATTTTATCTTAAAGTTCTTTTAAAGGATCAGTTTTGTCCACAGCTTTGCAGCAGATAGGGTCAGGACCAATGAATCTTTTGGGTTCGGGAGTTTTCTTTTAAGACTATGCATCTTAAGATTAGACAAAAGAAAAGGACTTACTAGAGCTTGTGAATCTAGATCCTTAGAGGTTGATGTGAATCTCATCTGCTAAGTACTTCATTGATCATTGGTGGATGATAGTAAAGGATGTTTCATAACTTTGTTTTGCGCTTGTATTGCATTTACTTCACCTGCAGTCTTCTGTTCATCCAGCAGTTTATGTGTTTACCCATTGAAGCTGATTATTTGATTGATTTTGGTCCCAGCTTACAGGAGATCTGGATAAGATGGTTGCGCTGCAGAGGCTGTTGGAACCATATGGCATTTGTGAGGTTCGTCTTTACACACACAGTTTTTATTAGATTTCATATTTTCATTCTCAAGTTGACGATTGCTATTTCTGTATATTGAACAACCTAAACACTCATTGACCAAAAAAAATAAAAACAACCTAAACACTCTAGACTAGAACCTTGTCTTCACTCGCCAGTGTATTGCTGCTCCAAGTCTCCATCGGTCAAAGGTCGTTTACCTCAGATGACTTCTGAATTTTTCTGTAAACCCTGGGTTTCAGAGACACCCAACCTGGTGTTCCCACCCATACCGGAGTTCTGCTCACAATTTCTTCATTTGCTTTAGCGACTTCTTTGTGGCATTTGACTGCTCCATATTTTCGTTTGTGCTAGGTCTTGGCTGTCATGGTAAGGGATAAGTTGTGATAGATAGAAAATTTCTCCACTTTGTCATGGAAGGAGAAGGTGAATGTAGCTATAAAATGCAAAGGAAAGAACACGGTTTTTGACCCTTCAGAGGAAAGCATGGATTTTAATGTGGTCTTGAGACTGTTTGGTGAAGGAGGGCGATTGAGGTAGAAACTTTTTGCCTGAGATAAAGAGTTGACTTTTTGGCAAATCCGACAATTAGTGGTGGGATTCAGGAGGAGGAGGAGGCAGAGTTAAGGAGGGTAATCACTACCTTCTATGAGTCGAGAGACCCGAGTTAGATGGCATATTTAATCTAATCATTTTATCCCCCCTGTAGATATGGGATTATGCTTTCCCTCAGATTCTTTGATCAAGTAAAATTATGCCGCTTTCAATTTGTTTGCAAACTCAACCATGTTTAACCAGTAACCATAACTAATTATCTTATCGAATTGCTAACACCTTTCCACTGTTGCAGGTAGCTCGAACTGGGAGAATAGCATTAGTACGTGAGTCGGGCGTTGATTCTAAGCACCTGCGTGGATACTCTTTTCCACTGTGAGTTATGAAGCTAGTCATGCTAATGGGAAGTGCGATGCGAACAATGGTTATCTGCCAATTTCCAGGGATCCTAGAGTAGTTACGTTATATCAATGCAGAAGAAGTAACTTACAATGAGCAATGTAGAATTTCCATGTGTTGTCCTACGTACCGCACGTGTGGATGGAGTTTTGCATCTTTAGTGAGGGAACAGAAATTTGCATACTAGAAGTCTGGAAGTTCTTGTAAATGGGTTGTTTGTCTTTCATGACTCTAGGTTCGTTACCTGTAATTGTAGATTAGGATCGAGATCGAGAGAGAGAGATTTCCTATCGATTATCCTGAAAGAAAGAGAACCTTCCTCACAAGACGAGGTAGTGCAAAGACAAACAGAGAATAGAGAACCTATGCCGATTTAATTTTAGGTATGTAGGAGACATTTTTACGGCCTCACAATCACCCTGAAAGAAAGAGACAACCTCTGAGTCTCACACAGAACGGCAGTGCAAAGACAAACAGATAACAGATCCTTTCTGAAACACAAGCGAAAGAGACTATGCCAATTAAAAAGGTACGACAAGTGACTTAATCGCGGGAAACCAAGACCACCTGTTTCCTGACATTGCGACCGGAAAACAGCCTGACCAGAGCTGCCGGACCGTTTTGGAGCCCTTGGGCTATGTCTTCGACATAGATAATCCTTCCTTCTTTGTGCTGAGGCAAAACCATCTCCAGGAACTTTGGATAAAGATGATAATAATCAAATCAAGCACATTGAAACCTTCCGTTCTAATCCGCTTCATGGTAATATGCAACAAGTTGGATATGCCTTTGGGCTGCTTGAGGTTGTACTGCGAGATCATTCCACATAGGGCACTTCGACCATGAAGCTTCATATTGAGTAGCACCGCATCCAACATCTTCCGCCCGACATTATCAAAATTGATGTCGATCCCCTCAGGGAAGTATCTAAAGATTCAAGATGGAAAAGTCTACTCAAGTCGGTTTCACGATAGTGCACGTATATTAACAGTGGTTAATTCGCTCGATAATCACTAGCATGTGCCTAACTAACCTTTTCAGTGCTGCATCTGGATCTGGTTCGTCCTTGTAGTTGAAAGCATTGTCTAATTCAAGTTTGTTCTTCAGCAAGTCAACCTATTTTGCAGAAGTAAAAAAGAAATGAAGAGACTAGCTAACAAAGATTGTTATACATTCTTTTTAGTGAAATGATGAGGATATACGTCCAACACACGATCACGCTCTTGAAAAGTATCCTCAAATTTGAGAAAGCCCACCATGCTTTTCAGATTAATTTATGACAGGATTGCTGTTGAAGTCTCAAGGTTCATGTTGACATAAATGTTTGTCTAGTACCGAAAAAATATGAATATTGCAGATGCTAAACGTGTTTGGCAAACCAAATTAGCATCACGTCGGAGGTAAATGTTGCCTGAACAACTATCATCCGAAGAAATTCGAGATGTTAGATGAATGTGGGATGATTACCTTTTCTTTGCTACCGGCGCTGCCAACAACATAGCAACCAAATACTTTGGCAAACTGGCCAACAAGCCGACCAACTGCACCTGATGCCGCTGAAATGAAAACAGTCTCTCCTTTCTTGGGAGAGCATACCTCGAAAAACCCCGCGTAAGCTGTCATGCCTGCAAAGTTAAAGTATGTAGATGAAGTATAAAAAATTCTGCTGAAGCTAAAGAGTAGATTAGATATGGTTGCGGCAAACTCTCACAGGACAACCATACTCATCAGGAAAGAAAGCGACTTCTCATGGAAAGTCACTAATTGCATTGGGAAGTTCCCGACTCACACTCCTTGCATAATTCAATCAACTAACAGAGCTGCAGAACTTGCAAAAGAAAAAAAAACTGTTGAAAGTGTGCACCAACAAGAAGACTTTCAGCAAAAAAACAGAGTTCATTAACATTGAAAGAGCAAAAGACTTCAGATGATCAGAGACCGCACCCAAAAGACTGGTGCAGTAAGAGAGAGGAACATCGCCATGTTCGATCTTAAAGCAAGTCTCTGGTGCAGGAAGTATACTGTAATCCTCCCATCCGGTCATGCCCCAAACCAAATCGCCTTTCTTGAAAACCGGATGCCCAGATTCCAAAGCTCTTGCCACTCCCAATCCCGTAATAGGCTGCATAGATGTGTTGACATATGCGCAAACACATTTAGCGAAGACAAATTTTGAAGTGATTCATTAGAACCATAAACACTATGCTTAAGGATCCAGCATAAGCTCTGGTTGTTGCAGAGTCATGTTCATTCTTGCTTCATTTCAGTTAATTCTGTATTTCTTTGTTCTATACCCCACGCAAGGTGCTTTCATCAGTCATCATGCCAACACAAATGAATGGAAGCGATAAAAGCAAGCCCCGTCACTCATTAAATGTGATTCTCTACCATCAGGCCGCACAAATGCAAAACATGCAAAATTCTCTACCATACAAGCATAAAGTCGGTTCTTATGACGCACTAAATCCTCCATCACATTTTCAGGAACTATTCTTGATACATTGAGAACCATAGGTACCCTTTCAAAGGTGCCTCGAATTGGCTCCGAAGTTAGAGATTAGAAGAACTTAACCGTAAACAAGAATAAGATATAAAGACGAACAATCCTTTGGCATAATCACTGTTTTGACAAAAATGCAACACACAACCAGTCCTGAAATACTGTTTAGCCAACCTGAGATCAACAATCCAAGAACAGTAGCAAGCAAGAGCATGCAAAGTCAAATGCCTCGGAGACTAATGTAAAATGCCACGATTCACACTAGGTAACAAACATTAAACAATCCCAGAGCAAGTTCATCAACAAAAAATTTCATCTTATTGTCATTCCTGTTTCTATTTCCAAAAAAGTAAAAGCCAAAAAGAAAAAAAAAAAAAAGAAATGAGGTGGACTAACTGAACCAGGTTGGAAGGTGGCGAGATAGCTTTGAGCGGAGGCTGGGAGCTTCAGCATGCGACCCCTCATGTAAGGATGGCAGGACAGGTAGAGATTCTTCACCAACACTCCGTTGGAGCCTTCAGCGATGGCTCTCGGCAGTTCGATGGTTGATTCAGTCACCTCCATGTCTGACTCTTTAGGGAAGACGCCATTCGCGACGAGTCCCTGAATATGACTTGCTTGTTCCTCACTGCCTCCCCATTCTGAATCCCCATCCTTTCTATTTTTTTCTTTTCTTCTCTCTCCACCCAAGAAGCTAAAAGTGAATAGGTGTGGGTGGGTATGTCTCCGTATGTAGAGATTGAGTGATGTTTCTGAACTGCGAGTGGATGGAAACCTCTTACAGAGCACACACAACTGAAAGAACTCCACTTTCAGACTCGGTATCCGCCTATAAACAAACCTGTGCATAATAGAAGAGACAAGTCTCACAACAAGACACGAACAAAACAACAATCACTAGGAAAATCAAGAAGCTGACAATTCATAAATGAAACAAACAACCAAGTGCAGCAACTCATGCATTAGATCAATATGGAAAAGCATGCACTCATGCTCCGTATGACCGTCTCACCCGGCTGAGAAACTTCATATTTGAAGGTAAAAGTTGGTTGGCATGCATGTCCACGCTGGGGAATGATTGCCATTGATTTGGACTGATCTTTGCCAGGTCCAATTCCTCCGAGGACTAAGATGACTTTCGTTGGAGATACCTTTTAAGGACAACGACACGGGTCGGTGGGTGTTGACCAGGTGCTTTTTAGTGCATTGACATCGATGCCGCTTTCGTGGATTCCCTTGTTATGCCATTTGGCCCTTGTCTCCACGCTCTACAGCTGATTTGCAACCTTTCGCCTGCCTTTATCTCCACCTCTATTCCTTTTTTCTCACCTAGATCCTCTCTTCCCAACAAAGTGGAAGAATGGTCCTAAGCAAGACTTTAAAAGGCTTCATCCCGGGCTCGCTCAAACCTTGATGTCCTTAGAATGTGAAACAGTTAGAGGGTATTCCCACTCTTTCCACAAGACAAAGATAGGAAGGGGATTGAGGGGAAGCAAAGTGTGTGGGTCTCGGCACATTAAAATAAGGTGTACATCCATGGAGCTTGCTGCCTCTTGTTGAAGTGTACAGGCTAGGAGGCCTTGCAGGAGCGCAAGCTCCCTTGGAGGTCTCACCATACGTGGCATGTAAGGGCCCGTTTGGTAACGTGCCAAATAGTGAAAATTTCTGTTCTTTTGTTCCCAGAAATAGTTTGGGAACAGAAATGCGTTTGGTAAATTTTTTGTTCCTTGGCACATTTTTGCAAAAATTTGTGCCGAGAAACAGTTTTGGAAGAGAAACAAGAAGTAAAAAAAAGTTGCTTCTTGTTTCTCGGCACAATTTTGAGAATCAGCTTTTTTTCTTTTCTTAATTTTGTGTTCTTCTTCCTTGAAATTTGGGCCGGCCGCCGCGATCGGCCGCCGGCGGCCGGCGGCCCGGCCACGGCCCGGGGCCGGCGAGGCGTCACGGCCCTCGCCGGCGAGGCGTCACGGCCCTCGCCGGCGAGGCGAGGGTCGGACCCTCGCCGCTGGGCGAGGCGGCCTCGCCCAGATCGAGCGAGGCCGAGCCTCGCCGTCGGTCGCGACGGGGAGGTCGGCCTCTCCCAGAGACGGCGAGGCTCGGCCTCGCCCGGATCTGGCGAGGCCGAGCCTCGCGCGTCGCGACCCACGGCGCAGCCGACCTCGCCGTGGGTCGCGATGGCGAGGCTCGGCCTCGCCCAGCTCGGGCGAGGCCTCGCCGTGGGTCGCGACGGCGAGGCTCGGCCTCGCCCGGATGCGGGCGAGGCCGAGCCTCGCCGTCTCGGGCGAGGCCGCCTCGCCCGGGCGGCGAGGGTCCGGCCCTCGCCCTGCCGGCGAGGGCGACCCTCGCCTCCGGCAGCGGCGGCGAGGCCGTGGCGCCTCGCCGGCCACTGGGCTGTGGCCGGTCGCCGGCGACCGGCCATGGCCAAAGAAAAAAATGAATAAAAAGAAAAAAAAAATAAACAATTCAAAAATATTATTAAAATATTATTTGGGAACAGAAATTTTGTGTAGTTACCAAACGCATTTCTGTTCTTTTCTACTCTAGGAATAGAAATTTTGGACAGTTTATCAAACGCCTTTAAATACTCAGAAATTGTTTCCGGGCACAGAATAAAAAAAAATCATTTCTGTTCAGAAATAGTGCCGGGGCACAGAATGGTATTCATGCGCACCCTAAATGATTCTCTAAATTAATTAATGAGCTTGAAAAAGATATGGCAATTGGTAGAGGTAAGACCTAAGTGGGTTCATAAAGAGTTTATGAAGTTTGTACTCATTGGTAGAATCTACTCGAAGAACAAATCTTAAAATTTGAGCCTAATCGGGTCGATTTGTTTGAGCTCTTACGAAATTTGGCTAGTGGAGCCAGCCCAAAATTTACTTTTAAAAGGTCGAGTTTAGTTTGGTTCAACTGTATGAGTAAGGTTTATGATATGTAATGTCATTGGGCGGTAATGATGATTGATACTTTCTTTATTAATTAATAGCTAGTAAAAGATCATGAAAGTTAACTAAATCAAATTTAAATAGGTTAGTCAAAGTAAGCTCATTAGTTTAGCTGACATGATTCACTCAATTAAATTGTTCACACATGCACAGGTGATGTCACATTGCATGAGGAAGGATCTGAATGACACCCACTTATTGTCAATCCCCTCGAATGGGTTGACACAATCTTGACTCTAATTCAATGAACATTTACCATGAATTCGAGGAAAATATTTCCATCATCAATGAAAATATTTAGATATAAGTTATGGTCTATAATGAAAATATCTTTTAATGATTCGCTTTTTTAAGAGTTAAAAACGATTTTAATTAGGAAAATATTTTATAAATTGCTCTTTTATGGGAAAAAAATGGATGCAACATCACGTACATGCATCGCGAAACGGTTAAAACTATCAAAATATCTCTCTTATTTGTTTACTTACCTGTAATGTAATGGCTGTGACACACTAAGCGAGGAAAGGGGGAAGTTTGTGTTAATTATGATTCAAAGTTAATTTGAATTGGATTTGAAATTCTACACATAATTTAATTGTATAGAAACCCTGACCGAAGGTCCAAATTGGACTGTTGCCAACAGGATCGTCGGTGATGGGAGAGACTTCTTTTTCTCACTAAAGATGAAGTCTATGTTGATGCCAAAGAAGTGTTCATAGCTTTTCCCGTAAAAATATTCTGTTGTCGAATTTGGTCTAGTGTGCATAGGAAGTGTGCTTTATGTACGTGAAAGAGAAGTCATCCAAGAGAGTAGCTGTGATTGAGCGATGGTAACCTAATCTTGGCCAATTATAGGAAAATCATCTCATGGATCTCTCCCCGTGAAAAAGACACACCACCAAACCACGATAATCCATTACTTTCAAGTTTTATTCCTGCGATTTATTTTTTACTCAAATTGTTTCGTTTGTTCACGTTTCCCAGGTAGTTGTCACAATTTGGTATCTCAAACTAGTTTTTTTTTTTTTTTCGGACGGAAAACTAGTTTTATTTAAAAGAGATGACATGGTACAAGAAAGACACATTTTCATGGACATCTTAGGCAGGGATAGCATAAAATTTTATGCCTTATGTAGAGAACATATGTGCACGGAAAAGTACAGTAAGCGACTCATTCGCCGGAACTACAACCATCTCTTCTCCAACGCTGCTACCGGAAAACAACCCAACCAGATGATCCCTTGACATAAAGACAAACAGAAAACAACCTCTTTCGAAAACACGAGAAAAAAAGAGACTAGGCGGACGACAAAGTACAGAAAGCTGACTCATTCGCGAGAAACCACTACCACTTGTTTCCCGACATTGCGACCTGAGAACAGCCTGACGAGAGCTGCCGGACCGTTCTTGAGCCCTTCAATGATGTCTTCTACGTACACAATCTTTCCCTCTTTGATCTGAGGCAATACCGTCTCCAGGAACTTCGGGTAGAGATGATAGTAATCGAACACCAAGAAACCTACCATTCGAACTGGCTTCAGTATAATGCTCAACAAGTTGTGTATGCCTTCGGGCTGCTCGAGGTTGTACTGTGAGATCATTCCACATGCCGCGATTCGGCCATGAAGTTTCATGTTGAGCAGCACCGCATCAAGCATCTTTCCGCCGACATTTTCGAAGTAGATATCGATCCCCTCAGGGAAGCATCTTAACATTTATGGCACAAAAAGTCAACTCGAGTCAGCTTCGGAAACAGGTACAAATTTTATATCCTGGACAGCAGTCGCTCAATCATCATCATTACAATCATGGCTCACCTTTTCAGTGCTGCATCCAAATCCAGTTCCTCCTTGTAGTTGAAAGCATCATCGAATCTAAACTTGTTCTTCAGCAAATCAACCTTCTTCGCAAAAACAACGACTCTTTGAAGGAAACACTAACAAATGAAGGAAACACTAGACAAATGTAAGATGATTACCTTCTCTTTGCTACCGGCGCTGCCAACAACATAACAACCAAACAACTTTGCAAACTGGCCAACAAGCTGACCAACAGCTCCTGATGCAGCCGATATGAAAACAGTCTCTCCTTTCTTAGGGGAGCATATCTCGAAAAACCCCACATAAGCTGTCAGGCCCGCCATGCCTGCAAAGTTCAGGTTTGTAGAAATTAGACGAGCATCCAAATTTTGCCGAAGCTAAAGAGTAGGATCGATATGGCCACGGCAAACTCTCACTAGACAACCATACTCATCCACAAGAGAAGCTAGCCCGTGGGAAATGTATTGACTTCACATGGAAAGTCACTAACTACATCGAGATATTGCCGACTTACACACTCATTGCCTAATTCGATCAACGAACACTGCTACAGAACATGCAAAAAGGACAACTGTTAATAGTGCGCAACAACAAGAAGACTTTCAGGGAAAAACAGAGTTGATTAACATTGAAAGAGCAAAAGACTTCAGACGATCAAAGAACGTACCCAAAAGACCGGTGTAGTAAGCGAGAGGAACATCAGTGTGCTCGATCTTAAAGCAAGTCTCTGGCTCATGAAGTAGACTGTACTCCTCCCATCCGGTCATGCCCCAAATCAAATCGCCTTTCGCGAAGTTCGGATGCCCAGATTCCAAAACTCTTGCCACTCCCAATCCCGTAATAGGCTGCATAGATTTGTTGATGCGCGCATACAAATTTAGCGAACACAAATTGCGAAGCGATTCGTTAGAATCACACAGTAAGATTAAGGATCCAATGTACACTCTGCTTATTACAGTCATTATCATTCTTGTTACATTTCAATCAAGTCTATATCTCTTTGTTCTATACCCCATGCAAGCTACTTTCATCTTCTTGTCATTCTTGTTTCTGTTTCCAAAATATATTCCTTCGTGGAGATCTTTTAAATGATTTGTGGATGTGTTCCCGGCAGTAAAACCCAGTGGGGTAGTTAGTCCGTTGGTAAGCATCGCTAGAGATCAATTTGAAAAAAGAAAGTAGTCTTTTGCAATGAACTTATTAAGAAGATCTAAGTCTTTCTCTAATTCTTTATCACAAATGTTCTCAGATCAAGGACCAGTAAATAGAGAAGAAATTAGCATAGAAGATTTTAATAAATCTATAGAGAATTGGATCATTCCAAAAATCAAGCTTAATCAAATTTATGAGCATTCAAAGTTTAAAATCTTCGGACACAATGATTATATCATTGTTACTGAAGAAAGAGATGTACCACTTTCTAATTCTTTTGCTTCAATACAACTTTTAAATAAAGATTCTATAAAGAAACATTCCCGGAAATGGAATTATATGCATATAGGTTTAGTACAGGTTGGTGCTAAACCTCTTACTAAAGAAGACTTAAATACCTCTTTACTTCTTGTTTTAAGAGATGCGAGACTTTTAAAATATGACGAATCCATTCTCAGAGCTGTAGAAATAAGTCTATGTAGTGGATCAATTCATTTTGATAGTCATCCTGGTCTTACCGTTTCTCTTAAGACAAAAATATTTTAAAATCTGTGACTCTTCAAATAAAAACTCAATTATTCTATAGCTGAAGGATCCATTCCTATAGCCCTTATTTACAGGATTTATTACAAAGTAATGAATTCTGCTTTTGGAAGTAAGGCTTTTAAATTAAATTCCAATAGAGAAACTCTTCTTTTACAAACAGATATTTCTAAAACTAATATTACCATTCCCAAAACCATTCCTTGGAATCAAATAACCCTTCATGATCAATGGGAATTAAAAAATCGAATTTCCCAACAAATTATTCAAAACTCTGATCCCACTGATGTTATTCAGCATCCTGAAGGAAGAGTGACTATACAATTTTCCAGAACATCTGTTGATATCCCTAGGAGATCTTGTGACGTCAGATCAATTCCTTCTTGGCATTCCACTTCTTCTCGAAGATTTATAGACACTGTTCCTAACATTCCTTTGAATAATCCTAAGGAAGCATTTGCAAGTGCTCCCCCTCTTCCAAATAGCAGTGGTATAGATAATAGGTCGGGAATCTCCAGACCAGTTTATCAATATACTCCTAACTTCCCTGATCCAACTTTATCTGAAATGGAAGATCCTGAAATGAATATTTTAAAATCAGTTTTTGAACCAGATAAAATAATTTTAAATCAAGAATTTAATTCTTTCGAAAACAAACAAATCAGAGAATGGTTCTTTCAGAATTTTCAAAAACAAGCACTCAAAAACAAAAAAGAGTATTATGATTACATGATGCACCTAAGGGGGACCGGCGGACCCGTTATGCGACTAGACGAATCGGCGGGTTTGAAGTCAACGATATCAAATTGAGCTCAAATTTGGTCGGCTGAAGCGAAACGGCGTGCTGATCAATACTCACGCCTTTGGCCGTGACTAACGATGGATTTTCGCGATTCGAGATTGTTTAGATGGGTTTTTCTATTTTTTTAGTATTTTTTATGGGTTAATTTAGTAAAGGGTAGTTTCGTAATTTTACGTTTTGATGTTTCCTAATCCTAATAGGGCTTGGTTTGGGGTTATATAAACTTGTTTTAGGGTTTCTTTTCAGCAGACTTGGATATTTTTGATTTGATAATCATATTTGGAGGACGAATTGTTCTTCTGTCGAATTTTCTTGTTCAGTCAATTTTTCTATCGCGTTTCGGCATCAATTGGTATCGAGCACACGGGTTGCTTGAATCAATGGTGAACAGAATCGCGGTCGTGGACGGCGGGCTCGTGGTGGCCGGGGGCGTGGAGCGTTCTAAGCGGACGATCAACCACGTCTAAGAGATCGCGAGACGTAGAAATTGAAAAACAGAGAAGACGAATCCCGGGATTTGGAGCGACAACTTGCGGAGGCGAGGTTGGGCGTTCAATCGAAGAAGAAGCATAATCGAGGATCCATCCGATGATGAAGAGGAGGACGTAAACCCTTTTGGGGTTATGAACCAGGGGCGGAATCGAGGAGTACGACCTGGAAATCAGCGCTCTTCTCAAAATTTCGGAATGAAGATCGAGATTCCCGAATTTAATGGTAAGGCTATTCCTGATGAGTTTATTGATTGGTTGCATACGGTAGAACGGATTTTTGATCTTAAAGACCTAACTGAGGGGAAAAAAGTGAAGTTAGTGGCTATTAGGCTGTGAAAACATGCTTCGATTTGGTGGGAACACGTGAAAAAGCAACGCGCTAGAGAGGGAAAGCCGAAGGTGGATCGCTGGGATAAGATTGAAAAGTTATTGCAAAATAAATTTTTGCCTACCCATTATAGGCAAGAGGCGTTTATCGAGTATCATAACGTCAAGCAAGGTGATAAAACAGTTGGGGAATTTACAGAAGAATTTGATTGCTTGCGGATGCGTTGTGATGTGGCGGAGGAAGACGAGCAAACGATTGCACGATATCTAGCAGGGCTGCGATATGAGATCTCTGATGTTGTCCAATTACAGCAGTATTGGACATATGAGGATGTGTGCAGACTAGCCCTAAAGGTGGAGGGGCAGCTTAAAAGAAAGAGCGGTAATTCTAAGTGGTCGGGCGGCGGTTCAAGTGGTCGGATAAAGAATCCCAAGGAAAAGCGGGAACATCTCGATAAATTCGACACCGGTCACGATTAAGGATGTGAGTTCTAAACCCTGCATCCAACGAGGGGCAGAGTAGTGCTGGAACTAGCAGGGGAGGAACTGCAGCCAAGCGGTGTTTCAAGTGTCAGGGATTTGGGTATTTTGCTGCTGATTGTCTGAACCGACATATTGTGATGCTTGTTGATAATCCAGTTTTTTATGAAGGCCCAGTTTATGATGAATCTGAAGGCGAAGAAGAGGATGCGGATGCGGAACAGGAAGAGATTATCTATGCTGATTCTGGTGAGTCCCTAGTCGTTAGAAGAATATTAAATGTTGCTGTAGCGGATGATGAATCATGGCTTAGACATAATATTTTTCATACTAAGTGCACTAGTAGAGGAAAAGTATGCAGCATGATAATAGATGGTGGGAGTTGCGAGAATGTAGTGTCCACGACTATGGTGGAAAAGTTAGGGTTAAAAACAGAATATCATCCTCAACCATACAAGCTGTCGTGGCCTAGAAAAGGGAACGAGGTGAAGGTGAGCAAAAGGTGTCTTGTGTAATTTTCGATTGGAAAAAATTACATCGATGAGGTGTGGTGTGATGTAGTCCCAATGGATGCTTGCCATATTTTATTGGGGAGGCCGTGGCAGTTTGACAGAAAGACACAGCATGATGGTTTCAGAAATACTTATACCTTCAAGAAGGATGGCCGAACCATTACCCTAGGTCCTTCAGATTTGAGAAAAGAAGGGAAAAGTAATCTGCTTTCCAAATCAAAATTTCAAGAAGAGGCAGTGGACGCGCCTGAGCTTTTTGCCATTGTGGTGATGGAGCGGAATTCTGACAGTTCCGAAATTCCTACCCAAGTTCTGCCCTTGCTTGAGGAGTTTGCTGATGTCGTACCGGAAGAGTTGCCACCTGGGTTGCCGGGTGAGCACAATGTTTCTGGAACTTTTAATGTAGCAGATTTGTCACCTTACTATACTGAAGAGGAAGAAGACCGTGAAGAGATTGATAACAATGAAGGCGAAGCAGATTCGAGGACGAATCTTTCTCTAGCAGGGGAGGATGATGCACCTAAGGGGGACCGGCGGACCCGTTATGCGACTAGACGAATCGGCGGGTTTGAAGTCAACGATATCAGATTGAGCTCAAATTTGGTCGGCTGAAGCGAAACGGCGTGCTGATCAATACTCACGCCTTTGGCCGTGACTAACGATAGATTTTCGCGATTCGAGATTTGTTTAGATGGGTTTTTCTATTTTTTTAGTATTTTTTTATGGGTTAATTTAGTAAAGGGTAGTTTCGTAATTTTACGTTTTGATGTTTCCTAATCCTAATAGGGCTTGGTTTGGGGTTATATAAACTTGTTTTAGGGTTTCTTTTCAGCAGACTTGGATATTTTTGATTTGATAATCATATTTGGAGAACGAATTGTTCTTCTGTCGAATTTTCTTGTTCAGTCAATTTTTCTATCGCGTTTCGGCATCATTACATGTACCAACATGAAGTCCAAATATTCTTCTTTGATTGATTTGAAAATAAATTTTTAGAAGAAAAACAGATTTTTGTTCTGGACCAGTTTTATAAATGGAAATTAGACAATGACCAAGTCATCACATCTAATCATCCTTCTCTTAGAAAAATAAAATTTGAACATCAAGAAACTGAAATAATAGCTTCTCCTTTCAAAACAGCTTCTGAAATAGACGGCATAGGGATCAAAAAAATTGTTGAACAAAATAATTTTTCAAATCAACATCTTCATACTCTAGGAAAACAATTAGACCGAATAGAAATTTCTGTCCAAAACAGCTTTTCATCCTCTTCAAAATTAACTTCTAAAAAGGATTTAAAACCACTGCTTTTTAAGAATTTTGAAATTCCAAAAAATCCCAGTCTTGAATTTGCTAAAGCTCTCGAAGATAGAAGAAAACTTCTCAAAGGAAAAGCACTTTTAAATCCTAAAAATCCTTTGATTTTAGATACTCCTTTAATTCAAAACCTGAGTGTTAAAGACACTCTTGATCGTGTTGAGCCTTCTAACCAAATAAATCTTCTAGATAAATCTGATACTGAATCAATCCCTGAAATTAACCGT